AGTCCTCAATAGAAACACTATAGTTGGATTGTACATGTACGTTTTAGCAAATACATCCAGAGTCCTCAATAGAAACACTATAATTGGATTGTACATGTACGTTTTAGCAAATACATCCAGAGTCCACAATAGATACAATATAGTTGGATTGTACATGTACGTTTTAGCAAATACATCCAGAGTCCTCAATAGAAACAATATAGTTGGATTGTACCTGTACGTTTTAGCAAATACATCCAGAGTCCTCAATAGAAACAATATAGTTGGGTTGTACCTGTACGTTTTAGCAAATACATCCAGAGTCCTCAATAGAAACAATATAGTTGGATTGTACCTGTACGTTTTAGCAAATATATCCAGAGTCCTCAATAGAAACAATATAGTTGGATTGTACCTGTACGTTTTAGCAAATACATCCAGAGTCCTCAATAGAAACACTATAGTTGGATTGTACATGTACGTTTTAGCGAATACATCCAGAGTCCTCAATAGAAACACTATAATTGGATTGTACATGTACGTTTTAGCAAATACATCCAGAGTCCACAATAGATACAATATAGTTGGATTGTACATGTACGTTTTAGCAAATACATCCAGAGTCCTCAATAGAAACAATATAGTTGGATTGTACATGTACGTTTTAGCAAATACATCCAGAGTCCTCAATAGAAACACTATAGTTGGATTGTACATGTACGTTTTAGCAAATACATCCTCAATAGATACAATATAGTTGGATTATGAATGAATGAATAATTTATTGCATTAGTATATACATGTAGGCTACATAACATAATGCTTTAGCATATATACATAGTAATATACATAAATATGTGAATCGAGTTATGAATAAATTAATTAATGAATGAAGAGCTAAATATATTCGCATAAATCAATAGCATAGAAATTTTGTTAGTGTAGTATTGTATTATGGAAAACATATGCAATAATATCATAAAATCATAATTCTATAAGTGAAATAAATTGATTATATAGAAAATGTATTTGACATCATAAGAACTTCATGTATAGC